GTGTCTCGGTTTAGTTTCTGTTTCCATGATCTGTCCATTGCTGAGAGTGGGGTGTTGAAATCCCCCACTATTATTGTGTGAGGTGTAATGTGTGTTTTGAGCTTTAGTAAAGTTTCTTTTATGTATGTAGGTGCCCTTGCATTTGGGGCATAGATGTTCAGAATTGAGAGTTCACCTTGGTAGCTTTTTCCTTTGATGAGTATGAAGTGTCCTTCCTTATCTTTTTTGATTAATTTTGGATGGAAGTCGATTTTATTTGATATTAGAATGGCTACTCCAGCTTGTTTCTTGGGACCATTGGCTTGGAAAATTGTTTTCCACCCTTTTATTCTGAGGTAGTGTCTGTCTTTGTCACTGAGGTGTGTTTCTTGTATGCAGCAAAATTCTGGGTCTTGTTTGTGTATCCAGTCTGCTAGTCTGCGTCTTTTTATTGGGGAATTGAGACCATTGATGTTAAGAGATATTAAGGAAAAATGATTGTGGCTTCCTGTTATTTTTGTTATTAGAGGTAAAGTTATGTTTGTATAGTTATCTTCTTTTGGGGTTGTTGGAAGATTACTTCCTTGCTTTTTCTAGGTTGTAGTTTCCCTCCTTGTGTTGGCGTTTTCCATCCATTATCCTTTGAAGTGCTGGGTTTGTGGGAAGATATTGTGCAAATTTGGTTTTGTCATGGAATATCTTGGTTTCACCATCTATAGTGATTGAGAGTTTTGCTGGGTATAGTAATCTGGGCTGGCAATTGTGTTCTCTTAGTGTCTGTATGATGTCAGTCCAGGCTCTTCTGGCTTTTATAGTCTCTGGTGAGAAGTCTGGTGTAATTCTTATAGGTCTGCCTTTATATGTTACTTGACCTTTTTCCCTTACTGCTTTTAGTATTTTTTCTTTGTTTTGTGCATCTGATGTTTTGATTATTATGTGACGGGAGGTATTTCTTTTCTGGTCTAGTCTATTTGGTGTTCTGTAGGCTTCTTGTATGTTTATGGGCATCTTGTTCTTTAGGTTAGGGAAATTTTCCTCAATGATTTTGTTGAAGATATTTACTGGCCCTTTAAGTTGGGAATCTTCATTCTCATCTATACCTATTATCCTTAGGTTTGGTCTTCTCATTGTGTCCTGGATTTCCTGGATGTTTTGAGTTAGGAGTTTTTTGCTTTTTTCATTTTCTTTGACAACTGTGTCAATATTTTCCACCGTATCTTCTGCATTTGAGATTCTCTCTTCTATCTCTTGTATTCGGTTGGTGATGCTTGCGTCTGTGACTCCTGATCTCTTTCTTAGTTTTTCTATCTCCATGGTTGTCTCCCTTTGAACTTTCTTTATTGTTTCTATTTCCAGTTTCAGATCCTGAATGTTTTTGTTTAATTCCTTCTTTGTGTTTTCTTGCATTTCTTTAAGGGATTTCTGTGATTCCTCTTTAAGGGCTTCTATCTGTTTACTTGTACTCTCCTGTATTTCTTTAAGGGAGTTACTTAATTCCTTCTTATAATCCTCTATCATCATCATGAGAAGTGATTTTAATTCTGAATCCTGCTTTTCAGGTGTGAAGGGGTGTTCAGGGCTTGCTATATTGGGAGAACTGGGCACTGATGATGCCAAGAAACTTTGGTTTCTGTTGCTTATGTTCTTGCGCTTGCCTTTCGCCATCTGGGTAACTCTAGTGGTACCTGCCCTCTCTGTGTAAGATTGGAATCTGTATTTCCAGTTATCTTGCTTATTGCAGAGCTCCTCGGAGTCCAGAGGTCTCTGTGGTCTTATGCCCCTAATCTCCCGGGTGGAAGAACTCCTGGGACTCAGGCCACCTCTTGGATCTGGTAATCCTTCTGTTCTGAGTGCAGTGGCTCCTCGGCTGCTCTGAGTGCAGTGGGTTCTCGATGACTCAGGATTCAGTTTCAGCTGCTCTGAGTGCAGTGGCTCCAGCTGCTCTGAGTGCAGTGGGTCCCTGATGACTCAGAATTCAGTTTCAGCTGCTCTGAGTGTAGTGGCTCCAGCTGCTCTGAGTGCTGTGGCTCCTGGATGACTCAGGATTCAGTTTCTCCACAGGACAGGAGCAGACCGACTCTGTGTCTGCTCCAGTCCAAGGGACCAGGCAGGGGCCGAAGGGAAGTGGAATTCCGGAGGGGCGGGGTTTGGGTAGCTGCTGTGCCCTGGATGTCCCTGGCTCCCAGATATATCTCTGGGGCTTAGGGAGTGAGATGGAGTTCTTACCAGCTGCTCTGAGTGCAGTGGCTCCTGGATGACTCAGGATTCAGTTTCTCCACAGGACAGGAGCAGACCGACTCTGTGTCTGCTCCAGTCCAAGGGACCAGGCAGAGGCCGAAGGGCGCAGTTAGTTATTCTTAAAGTACCAGTTCTTTAAAACTCTTCGGTGTAATAGGTTGGGCGTTCCAGTCCTACTGCTGTGCATGAGCTACAGGTGAACTTGTTTCAGGATTTAAGAGTAAGTATTTATAACTAGGAGCAAGGGGTTTCATAGTCTTTAAACCAGTTCTACTTAAACCAGTTCCAGGGCTGCTGGTGGCAGTCCAGTCAATCAATACTCAAGTTTCTTCTGCAAGTATTTTAACATGGCATCTATCCCCTCTGCAGAGCCCCAAATAGTCTTCAGCAGTGTGCACTCCCTCTTATTGACCTGCTCCAACTCCAACTTGGTATTAAAGTGCAGTAAAGCTTTTGACTCTTCCAGGACAACAGTATTACAGGAGGTGAGCTCCTTGCTTCTAATCATGACTTCTTGGTTGAAGGTCTGTGGCCAAAATACCTGGGAGACCAGGCCCTTCTCACAAGCATCCTGTGCTGTTAGCTTCTGCCCACTAAGTACCATTTCATTTGCAGAAGCTTCTCCCACAATCTTGGGAAATGTAAAGCTGGACCAGCCATCTGAACTCTGTCCAAAGGTGGTATAGGGTGTTTTCATTAGCCCAAACCATATCACAAAGAGGTCATAGAGATGCTCCCAGTCCGATGGCTGGGCCATTGTCTGCTGCAATAATAGGCCTCTTAAACTGAATGAAAGTATTCACAGTTTTTTTGACTGCTCCTGCCATCTTAGTGCTTTTTCTTTTCTTGTTCCCTGTGAGACAGTGTATAAAATAAGCAAAGTCAAGGCTGAAACAGAAGACACTGCCAATGGCACTGAGCAGTACCAGCTTGCTGTCATCAGCAGCAGCCTTGGCCAAAGCAATCTGAACTTCTTTCATCACTTCTAGGTTAAGTGAGTTATTTTCTGATGATTTTGTGGATAAAAAGTTGTGGGTGAAGCCATCTTGCTTGCTTACCACAATATCTTTGAATCTGGAGGAGTTCTCTGTCAGCCTTATACCGAATCGCTGCTGCTTTTTCAGGAGACACTTTCTTGCAAGTAGATTGCCTTTTCTCGGCCATCCTTTCTGTGACTAGCATCTCCATGTTGTTTCTGTAATTGGTTGTCTCATGTTAGTTGTATCCACAGATAGAGGTTGTCCTGTAATAGCAACAGTTAAAGGTGTGTCCAAGTCTGTGGTCCCAGGGAAAAATGAAGATTGGCTTCTACTAGTAGCAGTTATCAATGAGCCAGACAGATACTCTTTTTTGGGGGGCAGGAACCAAGTTCTTGGCAATGGGGGCAGTTATTTGACCAGATAGCAATCAACTCTTTCTGGTAACAGCCAAGCCTGTTGCCATGGCTGTGGTCACCAGGCCAGATAAAGACTGGGCATTTTTGGTATTAGGCTTGATGAATTCATTTTTTTCTAGTTGTGGCTGATTGTGTGACCATGGCTGTGGGACATTTTCTGTCAATGGCCAAGCATGTGGCTATGGCTTTAGTCACCAGGCCAGATAGGACTGACTTTTTTTTGGCAATGGCCAAACTTGTACTCATTGCTGGTCATTAGGCCTGCTGAAGATGGGCTCTTTTTGTTAATGACCAATCACGTGGACATGGATGTGGTCACGGATCCAGACTTTGACTGACTTTTTGTGTGGATGGACTTGTCCATGGCTGTGGTTATCAGGTCACACAAAGACTTGGTCTTTCTGACAACAGCTAAGTGTGTTGCCATAGCTACAGTCTCTAGGCCAGAGGCTTGCGGGTTTATTTGTGGATTTCTACACATCTCTGCTTTCTCTCTGAGGGCCACTAAAGCCCCATTGGGTGCCTCTGCATCTATTTTTCTGTGTTGTCATGTTCCAATGACCCTGCTCATCTCCACTGAGGTTTTTGGGGTCCTTAGTCTGAAAGCCAGCCACCCACTCCACTTTCTTAACTGAGGGCCTAGGAATAGATATCTCCACGCCTGCCAGAGTGGAGTCCTCGGTCTTTGCCATGGAGAGAGGTGAAGCATTTTTCCTGAGCTTCTAGTAACCATTTGAAAACTATTTTTTGGATTTGGTGGTCTTAGAAAAAGAGTGCCTTTAGGAAAAGGCAGGTATTGGCTCACCTGAAGATTGATAGGCTTTCTGGTGCTGCTGTGGAAGGCCCTATTGCCCACAGCTAAATTGCCTCTCTTTTGTGGCTACAGACTACAGGTATTCTGCTCAACAAGGAGGTACTTCCGGTTCATAGAATATAACCTGGCTGTTCTATCCTTTCCTTGGGGGCTAGTCTGGTTTCTGTTTCCTGTTTTTCCTTTTGTCAATGATTCTTATTCATAATCCATTTTCCTTTCTTCCATATATACTTCTGCAACTGATAGTGAGGAAACACATCTGATAGTGAAAAGAAACACAACCATTTCTCAAGAAAACAGTGACTGAGAAAGCTCATCTCTTTTACTCATGGTTCTCTGTCCATAGGTAGATTATTTACTTATCTACACATCTAATTGAAGAAATTTTGTTGCTTCCAAGTTTTATAATTCACAAGTAACAATGTTATATAAATGTCTTTAAGCAGATTTTTGTGTGGGCATATTTTATGAATTTTGATAGTTTTTGTTGCCTAGAAAAATTTAACTAAAAATTAGTATAAAACATTAAAAAATACAAAATAAGATATTCACTTATGCATAGCACAGATTTTGCAAAACTATAACTGCTTTACAAACATGCCTGTTATCCTTGTGTAGTGACCACGCTAACATTTTCTGTATCACTTCAACTTTAGTATATGTGCCAACCAAGTAACCACTGGTAATATTGTAATATATTTTTAATGTGGTGACATAGCAAGGGCCTTGATCACTATGTTTTGTTACATTTAGGTAGATTTAAAATACTATTATTATTTTCAGATAAGGTCTTACTATGTAGAGCACAGTGATCCAGAACCCACTATGTAGCTCGGGCTGGCCTCAAATTGAAGATCTTCTAGCCTCAGCCTCCCAACAGCTGGGATTGTAGGTTTGACCTACCATGCCAGGTTATTGTTTAGTTTTAATTTGTCTTCCCAACTGCCTACACCATTTTTCATTGCTACCAACAACGAAAGTTCTAATTTTCCATATTCCTACCAGCATATGATGGATAGGTCTGACCCTAGATAATCTTACTATTTTTTTCAGTTAGGTTGCTTCCTTGTTGCTAATTTTTAAGATTTCTATGCATTGTTTTGGATAAGTCTATTTTTTTAAATCAGATATATCTTTTGCAAATATTTTCTTCTAGTCTATGGCTTGTCAGTATCTTGACATTGTCTTTCACAGAACAGAAGCTTTAAAAAGTAATAGCTTACCCTCACCCCCTACCTTTCCCCACCTGCACAATGTCCCCTGAAGCTTGGCAACTGCAAGATCCTGCTTGGCAACTGCAGATAGACTCAAAGCAGTGTACCATATCATCTTAAGAATAGCAGGGAGACCATAACTCAAGCAGTGTACCATATCTTCTGAAGAACAGCAGGTAGATCATAATTCAAGGCAGTGTACCGTATAGACCATGACATGTTTCAAGGCAGTGGCCAAGAAGATTCTGTACTTTTCCACCACCTGGCCCCTCTTACCCCCTCCCCTTGTAAAACATGCTATAAAAAAGCATTTCATGTTGAAAAAAAATTTTAAAAAATTAAAAAAAATTAAAAAAAGAAAAAAGTAATAGCTCATCTTATCAACAATATCTTTCATCTATTATTTTTTGATGTTGTATATAAAATATCATTACTATATATGAAGCCTTTTTAGGTTCCCCTTATTTTTCAGGTGTTTTATGTTTTATATTCTTTTAGGGTCAGAGATTATACTTCAGAGGATTTCAATTCTGTTAAACTTATCAAGGCTTATTTATTGGCCTACTAGATTATCTCTCCTGGGAAATTTCCTTGTGAACTTGAAAAAACTATAATTACTTACCAGAAATACTTAAAATCTCTTATAGATGTATGTCATATGTACCATGTATACAGGACTTTTAATGTCTTACATTTATTTTTCAGTGTTTTACCTGGTGATTTTATCTATTTTAAATGTGTCACACTACCTAGATTTTGTTGATTTGTTTATTTCTAAATTGCTGTCTGGTTTTTGTTTCAATGCAATGTGGTCAGTGTTTATATTCCTGACAGATTTTGTGTGTTATAAATTTTGTTGTCTCTAGTCACAATTTTGTCTCTTTTGTTTGCTTTTAAATAAATTTACTCGTATTCTTTATGTGTATGAGTGTTTGCCCATGTGAGTTTATGTTTACCACTTTAAGCAGTAGCTTAGAGAGGCCAGACGAGGGTTCCAGATCTCCTGGGATGGGAGTCACAGGTGATGTGAGCCGCTACATGTGCTAGGAACCAACACCAGCTACTCTACAAGAGTAGTGAGCTATTTATTTTAAAGAGTTGACACTAGTGATATTTTTCTTTTTCCAATATGCTTTATTTATTTAAAATAGATTGTTTTTATACAACATATTCTGATCACCATCTTCACCAACTCCTTCCAGATCCTCCCTTCCTCTCTACTCACCCAAATCCACACCTCTCTCATCAGAAAAAAGTAGCAACAACAACAAAACAGTATTGACCAAAACAAACAAACAAGCAGAGAAGAAGAGCCAAAGAAAAAGCACAAGAAACACACACAGATGAAGAGATACATACATTTGCACACACAGAAATCCCATAAACCCCACAAAATATGAAACCATAGCATAATAAGCAGACCTGTGACATAAAAAAGTGTACTCACAGCATTATGAAATAAAGAACCTTACAACAATCCTACTGTGTTTATTTTATGTTGGCCATCTACTGCTGGGCATGGAATGTGACCTTAGTGTTGTCTGTATACCCAAGCAGTTACCAATTGGAGATAGCTTCTGGGTTAGGGATGGGGTGGGAGGCGCTTGTTTCCACTTCTCCTCTCAGCAGGGACCTTATGGGGCTTATACCTAAGCAGGTCCTGTGCATGCTGCAATAGTCTTCATGAGGAACTTGTGTGTGTGTCAGCTCTGTTGTATCTAGAAGGTCCTGGTTTTTTTTTTTTTTTTTGGTGTCTTCCATTTCCACGGACCTTTACTACTATAAAGTTTCCTAATCCCAGAGGGGAAAGATTTGATGAAGTTATCTTTAGTGACATTTTTGAGAATTCTGGAATTCTGATTTCTTAAAAAAAAAAAAAACAACCAGAAATATTGTAAGACTATGCTTTTGTTTTAATCCCGGATGTGGGGATGTGGGGCTGCTTCAGTCTGTCCCTAGCAGCTGACCATGATTTACCTCATCCTCTAGCAGAAACATGGTTTTACCACCTGCAGATAATTTCTATAATGGCATGACATTTGGAATTCGTGGAACTTTTCATAGGGCACATAAATGCTAAGGCCCCGAGAGGTGGAATTGGTGGTTGTTTAGGAAGGTTAGTTGCAGTTTGCTAGTAGCCATGCTCACAGAAGAAATGACAGGAGAGAAATTAGATTCAGGGATTTTCCTAATTCTTCTCTCCCCTCTATCCTTGTTTTTCTCCTATCTATTGTTAGGGGTTGAAATGGGGGGACAGGGGGATAGAGGGTTGGAAACAGAAGAACCTACACAGTAGCAAAGACTAGCTATAGATATCCCAAATTAGGAATAGATGTTTCAGGGTCTCTCACTCTGCATATTGTCCAGATGTGGGTCTCTGTATTTGTTCCCATCTGCTGTGGGAGGAAGCTTCTCTGATGAAGGCTGAGCAAGGCACTGATCTGTGAGTAGAGCACTATGTTCTTGGCCACCCAAGCAGTGTTAAGGCTGGGTTCCATTTCATAGAGTTGTCCTTAAATCCAATCAGATAGTGGTTGGTTACTCCCACAAGCTTTGTGCCACTTGTAGCATGGTTGTTTATCTTTCTTCTTTGGTAGTGTACTGAGTACTATAAAGTACCCTGAACACTATTCAGTAAAAGTGAAGGCCACATGTAGGTCCAAGCTCAATTTCTCTGTGTTCAGTGAGTTGTATAGGTGTGGTCTTCAGCAATAGGGCCTTTAACATCAGTTTGTGGGTTGTTTGGGGGGATTTCCATTGGGCATCTTTGGCCAACAACTAGATTAGATATAACCCATTCATAGAACTGGAGTTTTTATTTGATGGCAACTGATGTCTAGTTGGGGATTTGTCTCCCCTGTTATTTTGTTATTCCATTTTGATTTCTTTCATGTATGTATGTGTGATGGTGTGTATATGATTGGCCTAGGGTGTGGCACTCTTAGGAGGTATGGCCTTGTTGGAGTAGGTGTGTCACTGTGGATATGAGCTTTAATACCCTCATCCTAGCTGTCTGGAAGCTAGTCGTCTTCTGGCTGCCTTCAGATGAAGATATAGAACTCTCAGTTCCTCCTGCACCATGCCTGCCCGGATGCTGCCATGTTCCCTCCTTATGATAATGGACTGAACCTCTGAACCTATAAGCCAGTCCCAATTAAATGTTGTCCTTATAAGAGTTGCCTTGGTCATGGGGTCTGTTCCCAGCACTAAAACCCTAACACTGTGTATGTGTATTTTAAGAAGCTTTTACTGAATTAGGTTTCTAGTGACCTCTCAAATGGCCCTTAGTTTTAGCAGTCCCTCATCATATTCCCTCTCTAATATACCTCTTCCCTCCCCCTCCCATTGACTCCTTCTGTTTCAGTCCCTCCTAGTGTCCATCCATAACTATCTATTCTATTTACCCTTCTTATATAAATCCACCCCTCCCCCAAATCACTGTGTACCAAACCTCTGTGGATATGTTGAGTGCCGCCTGCTTATTGATGATTTAAGTAACATTCACATATAAGCAAATGCATACCATATTTTTCCTTCGGGGGTCTGAGTTACCTCACTCAGGATTTTTTTTCCTTCTTCAAGCTTTATCCTTTTACCTGCAAATTTCATGATTTTGTGGCTTTTCTCTTTTAAACATCCAAGTAGTGTTTCATTGTGTAAATGTACCACATCTTCTTTAAGCATTCTTCTGTTGTGTAAAATGTATGTTGTTTCCAATTTCTGGCTATTATGAATAAATAGAGCAGCAATGAACATGGTTCAAGAAGTGTCTCTTGTTAGGTTGTAGCCCCCTTTGGCTATGTGCTCAAGAGTTGTAGAGCTGGATCTTGAGGTAGATCTATTCCCAACTTAAGGAATCACTACACTGATTTCCTCAGTGGCTGTATAAATATGAACTCCCACCAGCAATGGATCGTGTTTCCCTTACCCCACAACCTTGCCAGTATGAACTGTCATTTGTTTTATGGATCTTGGCTATTCTGACCTATGAAAGACGATGTCTCAAAGTAGTTTTGATTTGCATTTACTTCAGGACTAAGGACATTAACAGTTATTTAACTGCCTCTCAGCTATTTGTTTTTCATCTTTTCAGAATTCTCTATTTAAATCTGTATTCCATTTTTAATTGGGTGATTTTTTTGATGTCTAGTTTTTTGAGTTCTTTATACATTTTAGATATTAGTCTTCATCAGATATGTAGTTGGCATATATGTTTTTCTATTCTCTAACCTGCCTCTGTGTATGAATGATGCTGTCTTTTGCCATACAGAAGCTTTCACTTGATTGATTAGAGTTACTCCAAGATACTTTTTGAGGCTGTTATGAAAGGTCTTGTTTCCTTGATTTCTTCCATTGTCAGTTTGTCATTTGTATATAGGAAGGCTACTCATTTTTGTGTGTTAATTTTCTATTCTGCTACTTTGCTGAAAGTATTTATCAGCTGTTACCAGTTTCTTGGTAGAATT